TAGAGTATAACAATAAAGCAAAACTGAAGGAACGAAACAGCAGCAGACTCACAGACTCCAAGAAGGGACTAGCAGTGACCAAAGGGGAGGGGTGAAAGAGGGTGGGTGAGAGGGAGGGAGAAGGGGACTAAGGGACATTATAATTAGCAGGCATAATATAGGTAGGTTGTCACAGGGAAGGCAGTATAGCACAGAGAAGACAAGTAATGACTCAATAGCATCTTACTAGGCTATAGACAGTGACTGTCATGGGGGGAAGGAGGTGAGGACTTGTTATTACATGTGGATGTTGAAACCACAGTATTGCTTATGTGAAACCATCATAAGATTGTTTATCAATGATACCTTAATTTAAAAAATAATAATAAATAATAAATTGTTGGAATCATCAGGTTTCAAACCTGTATAATTTAATTTTAATTTAATTATTTTTAATATTAGTTATCTTTTTTTTTGTGTGTGTGTCCCTTGTTTTTCAGATTTTGAAGGTAGTCTCCACTTCTGTCAAAACACTTCATTTACTAGATTTGTTTTCAGTTTCTCTAAGGAATATAATTTCATTGCATTAATACTAGTTTAACATGGCTACTTATGGTAGATTTACATACATTTATTTAAGTATAAAATCATATAAGTACTTGAAAATTATTTCACAACTCTTAGAAACTGGCAGGCATGGTTTGGAAGTCCAGAAAGAAACATTCAGATTCCAGTTCTACTGTTAACAAGCTGTGTGACCCTGGACATATTACATATTTATTTTGAAAGGAGAAAGCAGATTCTAAACAAAGAGATGTCAGTTTTACTTTAATTCAGTTTGTTTTCCATTAAATGAGATGATTGGATTAGATGATCTCCCAATTCTCTTTAAATGTTTGCTATTTCTTGATTTTATGATTTACGTATCTTTGTCTGATTTTCTCCAAATAAATCATTTACCTCTTAGAAGTTCAGAGGTGAGGGAAACTAACTCTTCTCTGCCTGAAAGCTGGTCTTGTAGACTCTCATGACTTAATGCCGCATCAACGTGGAAATACTACTACATTAGGGAGATATATACACTCTTGTCTGTAAAGAAAACCTTGAGCTACAACCTGAGAAAGCTTGAGGCTGTATGTTTAGTGCACTCCTCAATTGGTCAAATCATTTTTTCCTTGTAAATCTTTTCCAGGGCCAGACAAGGCATAAAATAATAGTAATTAATCTAATAGATCATAGTGGTAACAGTAGACACTTGGAAGAGATGCGAATGGTCTCACGTTAACGGGGACAGTGCCAGGGCAGGGAGTGGAAGGGGGAAGTGCTTTAAAGCTTTTAAACCAATGTAGAATTGAAGGACATTTTTGAACAAAAAAATTTCATGACCAGTTGCCTCGATTATGTGATTCCTCACAGGCACCCACAATGACATCATAAAGCAAAGTTGTAGGTGTTGGGAGTCTTTTAGGGAGAATATTAAATATAATGTAAGTATAATAAATAATATAAATATTATTTATTTCTCATACAGATTCAGAACAAAGAAAATTGAAATAGGGGACTAAGATAGATAAGTAATAAAAAATCACCTTTTACCTCATAGACATTTATTTGTTTGGATGGTGTAGCTTTATGTGGAAGCCCAGAGAAGCCTGGTAATCAAACTCCAGATTTAAGCAGACCTACGCACCCAGACCCAACTAGTCATGGATGGAGGGAAGCTATTGATTTTATGTTACTTTTGAACCCAGACACCTTAATTCTCTTCCCACTTACAAGCAACTTTTCAGATGTTTCTACTGAGTTTTCCAAATGTACAATTATATAATATGCAAATAACTGTAATTTTACTTCTTTCATCCTTATTAAATAATGTAATGATTTCTCATATCTAATTGGCTTGGTTTGTACCTCCATAAAATTGGAAAATATTAGCATTGATTTTTTTTCTTGACTTTAATGAAAATGCATCTAGGATTGCTTTATTAAGTTTGTTGCTGACTTTGGGGTTCAGGTAAATAAAATATATATTTATATTTTTAACAGAACTATAAAGGTTACATTGTATATTGGTGGACACAAATTAGTTGTTTGAGTAAATAATTAGCTGTGTTGAAATAATGGGAAAAAATGGACCTCTACCTCACTGCATATAAAAAAATTTTGAAAGATCAAAGATTTAAGTTTATAAAATTAAACCATAAAAATGCTTAAAATGCAAGAAGAAAACATGATATAAATGCCCCTCCACCTGGATACTTTCCTAAGCATGACACAGTATACAGAAGCCAAAGAAAATTTATAGTTAGATCATCACATTAAAACTTTTGGCTTTAATTTTTTTAATCTGCAGCACAAAAACACCATAAAGTCAAAAGAACATATGTTTTTCTCAAAAGGCCCATATCCCCAAATTAAATGGTTCATATCATATTAAAAAGATGCTATAGATTAAAAAAGAAAAGAAAAACATGGAACTATTATTTAAATAGGCAATCATAGAAAATAAATAAAAAATAGCTCATAAACATCTGAAAAAAAATGTTTGGCTTTCCTCATGGTAAGATAAATGCAAATTATAATATTAATTTTTTCCAAAGATGGGAAATACTGCATAATAACACATTGTGTGGTGAGCATGTAGATGAACAGGCACTGTGCTACATTGTTGTTTGGACAATCAGTTGGTACAAAGTTCTTAGTAATTTTGCAAAAAACATCAAAATGAAAGATTTACTTTTTGCACAATGTAGTCCACCTTTAGAATTTAATTCCACAAATGTATCTGCTTATATGTGAAAGTGTGTATATAAAATATGTTAATTGCAACTTTATTTATAAAAGATTAAAAACAATCTGAATTGATTCAGTAAATTATAGTACATACAACCAATGGAAAATCATGTAGCTAATAAAGAGTTGAACCTCTAAAAATTGATAAGGAATGAACTCTAATATATATTTTTAAGTGAAAAATGCAGGGTGCAGAATAGCTTGTGTAGTAAGATAGTGTGTGCAGTGTTTTTAAATAGAAAGTGTGTGAGTATATTTACACTCATGAGGTTAGCACACACCTATTACTTATCTGGAAATATATATTAAGATAGGTTATCTCTGGGAATGGGAGTTGAATGATGGAGAATAAGATGAAAGGGAGAATTTATACTATATTTTCTTTTAAATATTTTGAATTTACATCATTTGTAAATATTTTCTATCAAAAATTAGTTAAAAATAAAAGCTATACACATAACTATGTCATAATACCTTCTCATGAGAAAATGTACCATACTTGTTATTCCCAAACTTTTAGGAATAAAATAAATAATAGTTAGTTAGTTAATTGGTTAGTTATTTCCAAATGAATAAATGCCAGTATTTTTCTGATACGTTCGGAGAGAAGTAGAATTTCAAGGCAAAAGGCAAACTTTCCTTTTCCACTGATTGTATGTGCTGATTGGATTTTTATATTCTTCCAAGCCCTAAGCTGGTTGCAGGTAGATTGTAAGAACCTCTGAACATTTCATTATTCCACTTAATAGATGAGGGGTCCAAGTTTCGACTTGAATCTCTTCTTGTATTACCCTCCATGGTCATAAATCTCACAACAATCAAAACCTCCTTCAGTGAAATTTTAGGTCCCTATGGGAGTCCTCACGAATAGTTATGGCTGCAATTTTATTATTGAAGCCCATATATACCAAGCATGCAATCAGCTGTTTCATAGCTTTCTGACCTTAATGAGTTAATCCGGGGTCCAAATAAAACTCACAGCCCAGTGGTAGCTTAGGGTCTGGGAAGCTTGGGCAAAGTAATGACTGTGAAATTTGAGCTCATATTAACTATGCCTTAAAACAATACATTTGGGATTTGGCCTGTGGCATCAGATCAGGTCTGACTCTGCTCTGTGGAGTTGAGAGTTTTGCCTCAGGTCCTCACAATATGTTTAGCCCTGTAGGACGATAGAGTCAGCAAGACATCATTATTGCTTTAGAGAAGAAAAACACTTCAGTTCTTATTGAGCTTATGACACTCTCCTTTCTGATCATTTTTTTCCTGAGATAGGAGAATCCTGCGCTCTTTTGCACCTGCACCTATTTTCTCCCATCCGTGGTCCAATCTAGTATGTTCTTTCCAACCTAGTCTTCTCTTTCTTAGTTCTGTATAATGGCGTTTATCCAGCACTGGACTGTCTCCTTTCGTATGTGTTGAGCAAGCAAACCCCAGCGTGGCTAATGATGTGAGCAGCTCACCGTTGCAGTTGTCTCCATCTCAGAACAGATGGAGACCCATTCAGGACACCAGTGGCGATCTGACTGCTCATTAAGGCTGGCCGCAGCGGACTGTTCTGCCCAGCTTGGCCAGGAGCACTTGTCAAGACTGGAGGGCTGGCTTTTATATCCTCTCAGAGACAACTCCCCTTCCACTACATCCTGTCGATGAGCTAACCGTCGTCTCCGTGGGGATACATCCTCATCTTCTGGTGCCTTAGGGAGTGAGCAGTCCCTTAGGGGCATGGTGGTATTTAGCCTAATGTACTGTAGGGCTGTACTTGAACCAATATCTTAAGTCATGGCACAGTTCCTGGATTGGCCAAGCACAGAAATTAATAAACATGGGACACTTAACAAAACCTGAGAGAAAATATATCTGTTAAGTCAAACTCATTAAAGCAGAAAGTTAGAATGGTGGGTGCCAGGGGGCACTGGGGGTGGGGGCGGGAATGGAGAGTTGCTCTTCAGTGGGTATAAAGTTTCATTTCCACAAGAGGAATAAGCTCTGGAGATGTGTACGACATCATATAGCTAACAGTATTATGCTGCACACTCAAAAATTTGCTAAAAGGGTAAATCCTATGTTGAATGTTCTTACTACAGAAAAAGAATGCATATTTAGTGATTACATTTCAACTTAAGTAGAAACAAACATTTTAATCCTCTAGTTCTGATTTCATGCCAAGAGTTTCTAGATATTAAGATCTCTTCTTAATCTTAAAATTGTGCATTCTTCTTTTTTTTTAGGACTTTCATATGCAGAGTAGATGGTAATTAAAATGTGCAGGATGACAAGATGGAGCCAACAGTGCTTGTACCCCCAGGACCTGACAGCTTCCGCTTCTTCACCAGAGAATCTCTTGCAGCTATTGAAAGACGCATTGCAGAAGAAAAGGCTAAGAACCCCAAGCCAGACAAGAAGGATGATGATGAAAATGGCCCAAAGCCAAATAGTGACTTGGAAGCGGGGAAGAACCTCCCGTTTATTTACGGAGACATCCCTCCGGGGATGGTGTCAGAGCCGCTGGAGGACCTGGACCCGTACTACATCAATAAAAAAGTGAGTGCTTTTTTTTAATCAGACATATTTTGCTGTTAATTACCCCATGCATGCCTTGGACTGTTATAGCACCAGAACATGCTTAATTAGCACAAAGTCTTAACTATCCTGATAAGAAGTAAAACACATTTGCTTGTGTTTTACATATATGCGTGAGAAATAAATGGATTCTATCATAATAGATAGAGCTGTCTTAAATATACCATGACAGATACTCAAAAACAAATGTAAGTCGTAGGCAGCTAATATAATAAATTAGGAAATTCTCCCCATAGATTGCATTTTCTATATAATTTTATTTTCTGCACTTGAAAATCCTGAAATTTTTATGTTATATTATAAAGACTTCAAAAATATTAGTATTATTTTCTCATAGAATAAACTTTGATGCCACAAGGGTTTTCAATTTCTATATCATGTTATATATAATAAATCAATTTCTTGATGAAACTTTTTTCTGCTAGGAAAAGAACATTCCTATACTAACTACAATTTTAAAAAATTACTCAATCTTTTGGTGGGAATATATTGATATTGGTAAAGAGTTAACGAACGTATAGTACTCCAAAGGACCTATAAATGGTATTTGAATGCCTGAATTTCCTATATCCACACTTGAAATGAACACCTTGTATGAAGCCCCCAATCTTTATGACTATGATTTCTCCAAACCAAGAAGAAAAGCATTGAAAAAGATAAAATTGAAAAAGATTATTGTGTTGATTTTAGATTAAATTTATGAGTAGTTGATTTGCAACATTTTTTTTAACTTTTCCACCTGATAATAATATATTTGGGAACTCTCCAGGCATAAATATTATAATTGAACAAACAAAATGTTTTAGCTGGACATGGGCCATAAATATTCCCCAAATTTTTAAGGACTTTCTTGATTGCTGTCACCATTTTGTATCAAGTTTGTCATTGTGAAGTGCCTAAGTTTTCAATTTTGATATGTGGACTTGAGACAGTTTTGTAAATCACTTCTTGTTGGCTACTAAAGTTTCCAAGGTAAAAACCTCACTATGTTCTGATTTTTTTTACTTTAACTTTTCAGGATAGAGCCTGTTTAATTGTAACATACTTTCCCTTTTTAAAAACTGCTTTGTCCATTTTATTGTAAAGGAAGTGATAAGGAAAAATTTCCTATAGAGTTATCTTTTATTTCATTTTGCTTTTTATCATTGTTAAATCTTAATAGGAAAGAGTTTATCCATTTCCTAACTCCCAGTTAAATTATGAGAAAAGTTTGCACTTTATAAGTAAATCAGGCCTTTGGAAATGAATTTAATATGATAACTGATAAGCTAGAGCTCAAATTAAATGGACTATCAGGGATTTATTGGTACAAGGAAAGTGAGAATGGGAATAACCCAATTATTCAAGCATTTTAACTTAAAATTGCTTCATTATTGAAGGAATGACTCTGATATGTTCTAGACAGAAATTCATTCACACCGTAGAGTATGTGACTTAACTTTATAGCCGCTGGGCCTGGCCCGTCAACTCGGAGCTGCTCTTACCGGGAGCTAGTGGGCTCTGTCCTCAGTGGGCTGTCTGCTACTCCCAGAAACCCAGCCCTGCCTCTCTCATTGAGAGATCCCATCTAAAATTATTAAAGCCACCCAGAACCTACCCCTGCATCAAACAGGACTGAAACCCCACCTCAGACACTGTGTCCTTCTTTGTGAAACAATAAATGAGTACTTGGAGAAAAAATGAAGTAATGCATGTCAACAAGGGCAGCAATTCTTCATATGGAAATGAGATCATCTCATCAATATTGTTCTTTAAATTAAAGAGTTTTCAGATTGATAAAGTTGTCAAACAAAACAGCCTATGACTGATTTATAGTTAGTGATGTACAACCAAGGATATACAAGCAGATGAAAAAAATTATGCAAACCCTTTGAAATAGTTAAGAAAGGTCTTAAAACTGAGAGTGAAAGCCCATCTCTGAAGGATACCCAGTCAGCCATATCCTTGTGCTGAAATAACCCTTATAAACTTTGTTAGATTCACGCGCACACTTGCCTTTAACATCTGCCCTTATTGTCAAATGCACATTGTGTGAGGAAGGAAAAACAGTTTGATGTTTTGGAACAAATCACAGAGTGCAAGTAGAACAACCTGCTAAGAGAAATATTGTTATCAGGAATGAGTTTTCCCCAAGGTAAGCTGCCTCCATTGCTTTCACATTGAGCTGACATCAAGCAAGTCTTCAAATGTAAGTCATTCAAACAGCAATGAAAAAATGAAACTTTCTGCAGGACTGAAATGCTCAAAAAGTAACACGGCATGCTTAGAACCAAGATGAAGCTATGTGTTTGAGATTTCCTTCCTTTACATTTTCATGTTTCAACACTTTCTAGAGTTGCCTGTACACTGTTTTCTAGTCTTGAATTTTCTTTCAGAATTGGATTATTTCAGTATTGAGGAATATTTTTAAATTCTGAATTCGTTTGCTTGGATTAAAGTTGGAATGTTTAGAAAAATAATGACCTTTTAAGAATAATATTTCTTTTGATATTTGATGACCAATTTTATTGTAGTGATGTGGGTATCTGAGATTGGCAGGGTGATCTTCGTTAAAATAATGCAGTGCACACACATAGCCCTTCCAGCTCAGGTAAAGGGTCTAGTGGTGGAAATGTCACTAGGGAAAACACTTTTTAGGGTGAGATTTCCCACTGTCACTGCTGTTGGGGATGTGGACTTTTATTGCCTGAGTGAGTTGGAATATGCAGACAGCAGTTAGGCCAGTGACCTCCTGAAGGTATAACTGAAGTACAGTAATTGGTATGCCATTCCCATCTGTAGACAAATTCTCTCGTTTCTATAATACATAGAATAAACAAAGCAATCCTTCTCAAAAAGTGGTGGCAGAACCTATTTTTTATGTTACATTTTAGATTATACCCACCACACTGAAGCTCTCTATGATCTTCTACAATGTCAGTGAGCTTATGGAAATGTCACTGCTGATGGTGTACTTCCAGATGGCAAATGCCCATATATTTTTATCTTCTTTGCCCCAGTTCAAAGTGTGCAAATTATATAATGTTCAAAAATTCTGCTAAATTTGTTGAAGTACTTTGATCCATGGTCAGTGGTACTGTAGCAGTAATTGAAGGAACAGTAGCAACCATGTCATGAATATTACTGGTGTGTGGAAGCATTTTCAGACCCTCACATGACTTAAGCCTTCAGAAGTCCAAGGTCAAGGAACGAAATAGTGCTCTGAGAGTGCGGTCACCTAGTTTTGTGTACCATGTGGCACTGGTTCAGCGGTCTTGACAGCTGATTCGGGTTGGGTTTCTTTTTGTTTGTTTATTTACTTTAGTTGTGTGGTAAGGCACATTTTAGCTTGTGAACACACCTTTTTTTCCTTATGGGATTTTTTTTCACAGTTTCCTTTCATAGCTTGGGTTGATTTTGCACCATTTGGCTATACATTGGAATTCTTCACCCACTCTTTATTACAGAAAACTTCTCCCTTTTCATGTTCTTAAAAATTACGGATGACTCATTAGTACCATGGAAGAAAATATCCTTTTGACGGTATGACAGTGTACTGAAAATAGAATGAGATATTTTAGATCTGTACTGAAAATGGATGTTTGTTAATTATGGAATGAAGAAATGCATCCATTTAAAAATGTATTCTTCCTTTGATTATCTCATGGACCACTTAAAAACAATTTATTTTCCCTTTTCATTAGCTGTCCTAAAAAAGATACATACTCTCTCTTTATCGGGGCTGCATGAAGAGTCATACATGAAGTTGTGATTTCGGATCATGCCTGGCCTATCATTGCTACAGGAGTTTTGATTGTCATTTTGGGTGGAGAGATTTGTTCCTTTCTGTTTTTAATTGAGATTAGGGAGTTTTTCTTGCAAAAGTAATTTAATGGAAAATCAGAAAGTAAGTCCTTTTCCATTTTGGACTCTATTTTCACCTCTGCTGGCTGCATTTGCAGGCTGACCCTTCCCACAGGATGGCCAAGGCAGCCACCAGTAGCATTGAACTAACATCCTACAGCCTAGCAACTCCAAGAAAAAGAGCTCCCTTTTTCTTCAAAAGCTCTTGTGAAAGACCTGGAATTGGTTCTAATGAGTTCACAGAGCCTCCTGTGCACCAATCTCTGTAGCCATGGGTATGTGATGGTCTCACTGGTCAGTGAGACTGTGACCCGTCCACCTGTATTGCCAGAGGGGGTGGTTCAGCTCCACTGAAGCCACATGGCCAGACAGTGGGACAAAGGGTTTCTCTAAAAGGAAGAGATTGAGACTGTTGAAGAAGGTGTGCTAGGCAGTCAAAAATAATAGCTCTGTGCTCCCTGCACCCGGTATCAGGATATTCACAGTGCTCACTTAATCCACACGTCATTCCAAGATAACTCTTGTCTTGATTTTAAAATAATGAAAATGAGGCGAAGTAATATGTCTAAGATCACAAAATAACAGAGACTAGTTTGAAAACCAGGTCTTGTCAGTTTCTGCAGCCCATCACCAGGCTACTGTGGGTTAGCAGGTGTCACACTAAAGTTACCAGTGGAAAAGAGATGTCAGTGACAGACCTGAACTAAGCCTGCCCTGCTACTCAGGCCGCTTTGCAAGCTGTGCCCCTCATCTCCTAGGCTGGCAGTATTTCCCAAACCCCTTGTGGCTTCAGCATTTCTTTTGTATCAGGGGCATCCCTACCTTTGTAAAAAAAAAAAAAGTCTTTGAGATTCAGTGGGCTTGGATCAGCTTCTAAAATAATTAGAGAATTACATTTCCCACCAAATTCTAATAAGGTGATAAGCACCTTTTTTTTTTTAGACAGAGTCAGGAAACTTAAATTGTGTGCCTCTGTAAAGAAACAGCACTTAAATTAGAATCTGAAGGGTAGAAAGGCAGGGAGAGAGGAGGCTTCCAGGGAAAGGGAAACATGTAATGTAGCAGGACTGACATGGGAAAGAAGAGAGTAGGATGTGGCTGGGGAGGTGGTCCTGCGGCTGGGTAAGGGCACCTTTTAGTGTATCTTAGAGAACTTGAAGTCTGAGGGCAAAATGAATTCTCAATAGGCTTTGTTAGAGGAGTACTATGGTCCACTTTACACTTTTAAAGATAAAGTGGAAGATGTTAGTGTAGATTTTTGACAATGAAAATGAGAGTAACAGATGGGATCAGAACCTGCTCTGGATGCATGGCGTTTAAGTCATCAAACAGGCGGAAACTAATGGCGTTGTTCCCCGAATATGAAGTTGGGGAGGAAAGATATTGAGCGGCCAAGTTCCAGTTTTCACAATTGACAATGTTTTCAGATACACAGGTGTATGTGTATATATTTGAGAACTAGACGCACATTTAAAATCTTTCAATCCTTGTATTTATATGGCATTTTAGAATTCATAAAAAGCATCCACATTTTGTATTGCGTTTCATCCTCAAAACAACCCTGACGTTAGTATTGTTACTGTTTCCATTCAGAGGTAGAAATCAACATGGAATAATTTGCTCAAAGCTTTGACACAGCAAGTCTGCAATAAAACTTGGCCTCAAATTAGTCCTCTCCAGTGAATGAAAAATTAACCGAGCTTATAGTGTGCCCCATCCACGGTATGCGCTGAAGATAGGGGGCTGAGAAATATGTGACCTCCAGATTTTGTCATTTCACTTATCCTTAGTTTCTCCTCTCTGCCGGAGGAGGGGGCAGAGGCAGCCACTACACTGGCTGAGGGGAGCCCAGCGGGCGCCCTCTATGGGCCACCTCCTGCACAGGCCCTATTCCCACTGTCCCACCGAGCTAAAACCTAGGGACAGTTTCACTGACTCTTCTTTGGGTACAAGTTCTTCTCCCTTGTACCAGCTTAAGGCAGAGACTTAAAAAAAGCTGACTGTGAGGCATTAGCCCACAGGCACGTTTTACTTGACTATTCAATATTGTAGTTTCTGATACTTATAAATCAGATTTCACACACTCACTCATGCACACACACACACACGGATGTACATAATCGTGCACATTTAGAATTCTTACAATATCGGACCTGGCATCACTGATTTTCATACCAAAAATCGGTAGGTACCCACACTGCCTGGCATCTGGGGGCATTTTTGCTTGTTGGTCCCTGGCTTAAAGACCACATGTGTAACTAGGTTATACATGGAAGGCTGTATATTGAAGCTTGGTGGGCCACAAGCAGGCGAGTGTCACAGTTGTTCTTAGGTTCGTTAACCCTAATCTAAAGGAGAAAATAGGATGAGATTAGGAGAGAAAAAATCCTTCTTAATATTGTACGCTCACTTCAGAGTCAGGCAGAGAACCTGCCAGAAAGCTTTCTATCCCCCAGTGAGCCAGAAAAGGAGGAAAATCTTGGCCTGAATCAACAGGTTAAAATAAATAGGCAGGACCGTAAGGGGGACCATTAGAGAGCCCATAGGGAAAAAAAAGGGAATTAGATGCTATGGGATTGACTCAGAATGAGAAATGTGCCCAGGGATGTGCACTCACGGGAATCTGTGTCTTTCTGTGGGGTTCTTCCTACCCAGACCTTTGAAGCTGACGTTCCTGCTGTAGCTCCCATTCTATCCCTCCCTGCTGGAGGCTCTTCTCAAGCCAGCAACTGAGAGTTGGGAGAAGAAGGTCGATCCCACTCCTGCAGAAGATAGAGGCAGGGAATTTCTCTAGTTCACGCACCAGGGGTGACATCAGGAGGAGTGAGGTGACCTCGCAGCTCAGCTCAGGACTCTTTCGACATTTGCACAGTCACATGTTCCTATACACAGTGAAAAAGTCCCGCAGTACCTTTAACACAGAATTCTGTCTCATTGAGAGTTGCATGGGCCTTTGGGTCTTGCATATAAAAGACGTATATGTATGTGTGCGTATGTTCTTCCTGTGGGAAAATATTTTCAATATTCCAAATGATCGACTTCCAAATTCACTGTTGGCACACAGTATATGTGCAAGTTGAAATTGCTCATCTTAAATTTTGAGGTTAAGGCATCAATTGAACCAACCAGTAGTGTACTGTACAGTTTTCTCCTGTGCCTGATCACTGCTTACCTTCCTCTCTTAACTTCTGGCTTTTGCCAGTACATTCACCTTAAGGGCAGGCAAATGCAGGGAGTTGCAAGTAAGCCCTGTTATTTGATGATTTTTTTGGTAATGTTTAGATAAACACAAAGTTGGACCTTCGATTTAAACTATTTAATGAACATGGCTCCTAGATTGAAAGAAAAGTTAAGATGATGTACATCTTTAGAGCAAGAGACTGTATCAAGTAGTTAAATTCAGTGTACATGTTGGAAAAAAATAATAAAGCAAATCACTTCCTAAAATCCCAGAAGCAAGATTACAGATAGTAAAAGTACAGATTCATAAATACCAATTCCTACCAAACTGTTGTAACATAATTGTTTCCTTATTGACTATACAGTTAGATCAAGGGGAAGGATTTTAATCTATAGGTACAACATAATCACTGATAATTTGGGTCATTTTAAAAATCACTAGTTGACAATTACAGATTCACAGCCCTGCTATTGCAGAATCACCTGAGTTAGTTCTTAAAAATCAGAACACTAGGCCTCAGAACTTTGACCGTATCAGAATCACAACACCTTTCTGAGCCAATTATATTTATTCCCATTTTTCAGAAGCGGCAGATGAATCACAGGAAAGTTACGTGACTTGTCTAGCGTCTCACTGCTGGAAGGGAGCAGAGCCAGATTTGGGACCAGGCATCAACTCCAGAGTGTGCACTCTTAATAACTGTATAAATTAAAACAAATCCTATCATGTGTTCCTAATGTGCTTCCCAGATTATTAAGCGGTTGATTACCAGGGGTGGTTCCCTATTTTTCTTGGTTCATCTTGCAAATCAGAAGGAGTTTTTACCTGGCAAGGCTGTTTGAAGAGAGTCTGACATAGCAGCACAGTGAATGGGTCTCACCGAGGTCTACGCTGCTCAACACGGTAGACCTTAGCCAGGTGCGGCTCTTGAACTCGAAATGCAGCAAATGCAGATTTTGAAGACTTAGAATTGTGAAAAAAAAGATGTGAAATATTTCAATGATTTTTAATACCAAATTCATTCCCAAATGATAATATGGTAGTTATACTGGGTTAAAGAAAACATTATTGATTTCACCTGCTTCTTTTTCCTTTTTTAAAACATGACTGTTAAGTTATTTGAAATCATATAAATGGCTCAGATTTGTAGTTCACGTAATAATTCTATTGGCCAGATCTAGGCTAGATTAACCTTCACTTATCCTTCTAGATTTTCTTCTCTCTCTAGAGATAGCTGAACATCACTAGCTTATAAGCTTCTTGGGGTCATAACCTGGGTATCTTTGTTACACTCCTGCCAATGTGTCTTCAAAGTGGTATTATATATAGAGAGAGAGAGTATGATTTGTAATTCAGTCAAAGTACTATATTTTGAAATTTGTTCTAAGGTACAAAATTATTCCCATGTTAAAATGATTTCATGAATTTCCTATGGCCTTGGACTGTAAAGAGAAGCCTGTTTCGAGCTAGATGCTACTCTATCAGCCTTTTCTCCTCCATTACCAATTTTGAACATTTTCCTTTATGTTAAAGTGACTTCAGGTAATAAACATTATCCTAAAGAGTTATATTAATGAAATTTTTATTGAACCCATTAGGTTTAAAAGCTACTTCCCTGTAAGTCATCCAACATATTCTTTTAAAAAGTCAACACTGACCTGTTTGTTTAAAAATGGTTAAGATGGTAAATACTGTGTTATGTGATTATAAGCAAACATCTGAAGAAACACGGAGTCAGAATCCTTCATACGCGAATGTATGTTATTGCTTTACTTTTTCATCGGCACACTGCTAATTGCTCTTAGAGATACCTACTTTCAGGATGCAGTTTCATTCATATTCATGGATCCTAGGTTCTGCAGGGGCTTTGAGCTTTTCCCCTGTGCTAAAAAAGCACTACGGAAGATAGACAGTCAATTGGGATCAGAATTCCACGTGTCAGCTAACTCAGAAATCTCAATACAGAATTTACACCCCTGATCAACAGAGATTCTCCAGGGATCTTGGTCTCCAACAATCAATTATTGAATTATATCCGTTTAACCCAAGACTGGGTTTGATGGGGCTACTTTTATTTCCTATTGCAAATAGAGTGAGAGTGTTTGTTTTATAAGCAGAAGTGGTAAAAAAAAAGTTATTTCAAAAATAAGTATTAGTTCTATTGAATGATTTTGCATTCTACAGGATTCTCAAGATCTTTGAATTGGGAAAGCTGAATCGCTAGAAAAGGAAGATAGTGTTTTAAGAGTATCAGAATGAAATTATATGCACCCATTTAAGACTTTCATATAACTCAGACATTTAAAATATTAAGAAAATAAATAAATTCTCTTGGCCAAATGGCGTATGTATGATAAAATTGCAGGTAAGTACCAGGTGAACGGTAAGTGATGACACTAACTGTCCTCTCCGGCTCAGGTGAGATCCGGGGGCAGTTTGTCTTCACAGTGCACAGTGGAAGTTGCAACACTGGAGTAATTCATTATGACAAATAACAGAAAGTAGGCAATAGAGTTTAAATGGTTTATACTTTTATACTTCTATGTTGTGTTCCTATCTTACAGACTTTTATAGTATTGAATAAAGGGAAGGCCATCTTCCGGTTCAGTGCCACCTCTGCCCTGTACATTTTAACGCCCTTCAATCCTCTTAGGAAAATAGCTATTAAGATTTTGGTACATTCATATCCTTTTCAAGTGATCAGTCTTAACTATTGTACATAATCTATAAATGCTTTGTAGCTTAATATAAAATTAAGTTGGGTAATGTCCATATTCTATGGCTTTTATTACTTTTCATTTTGTATCTTCTTTTGTCACATAAGCATTAAAGTTTACAGTCACATAGATATGGAAACTTACAAAGTTTTTAGCATTATATACATAATATATATTTGAAAAACACATTCTTAAAATATATATTATTTATCAAAGTCTTTAACTTAATATATGTATTTCCAGGAACACTTATATGTATTGAGTCCTACAAATCTTGTGTAAGATAGCCATACTTATCTCTACTGTCTTTGCACAGTTTGTGATTCTGTAGAATTTTCAGTGAATAATGATATAATAACATAAAAATCTCGTTCCAGCACCAAGTTGTGACATAATCTATAATGTAAAGTATTTAGTGTACCTTTGATAAACCTTTGAGCACATTTTCTAGGGGAGAAGTTCTGGGGGCTTTGGCCAACACTTAGCTAATTGTTGAACATTCCTAATGGCATCTATAAAGGAAGTACTGGAACACTGGCTGAATTTCAAATTTAAGTCATTGAATTATGACTCTGCCATGCAAAACCGATTGCTTTGTAAAGACTCTGGAAGTTAATGAAAGAAACTGAGATTGTATTTCCAAGTGGTCTTCAGGGATTTGGCTTTGTGATTGCCACTGGTGCTAAAATAAACTCTGCAGCTGAATTCATCTGTTCATATTCCCTGGCAAAAACCTTTATTTTTGATTATGCCTCTTTGATGGCTTTGGCATAATAAATACAGAAATACTATTGTAATTATCATAAACTCGTACTTCCTGATTTTGTTTAAAAAAAAGGATTCTAAAATTTTAAAGGCCATTCCATTTTTAAACTGTTAGCAAGAGATTCCTTAGTGGTGTAAATGAACTGTTATTAAAGTTAAAATATTTGAAACAAAAATCTTATGTTTAGGGTTTTTTTACATTAAGGACGTTTCCTTATCCTAGTTTGGGTCCCTACTGCCATCACGTGGTCATTTGATGGAAACTTTCTTTTTCACTGCCGGAAAATTTTGTCTTGGCAGTAAACTGTAGTGGAAAGAATAGTGGATGGAAACCTGTGTGCTAGACTTTGGCCAAGTTATCTAATTTCTCCTAGAATTTAGGCCTTATTTCTCTGATTTCTAAAATACAGTGATTGGACTCATTTCAGAAGGTTGCTTTCAGTCCCATAATTCTGTTGTCTTACTCATTTCTGCTAACACTTAGGTCACATTTACTAATATACAGACCTGTTCCAGGTACTTCCCACACATTAAATTCATTCAATCTGTTCCTCAAACTGATGAGGTCTATGCTTGATTAACTCCATCGTGTAAAAGTCAGTGGAGACATAAGAAGATTCAGTAGCACAGAGAAGCTGAATAACTTGCCCCAGATCACTTTTTTGTTGAATTTCAGTTACATTCCTATCATGTTAAGTCCTGGCCTTCAAGAATATTTACTTTTCATCTTACCAATGCAGTTAGACTTGTGCAAACTCAGTCAAAATAAGCAGTCTGACATTTAACCGTAGTATAACTTGACTACATAATTTTTTATGTCCTGAACTATATTGTGTAACATGTATTTAAGAAAGTACAGTATTGCAGATGTTTGCCTTCTTTGACAATTCACAATTTTAATCACCTGAATTAGTTCACATGAATGCTCTCTGCTCAAAAGCTATACAAATCCAGATTGTACAGTTTTTCCACTAAAGTTCTCTGGCAGATAAATATATTGATTTAATAATAGTAGTAAAGGCAAAACCTTATACTTATATAAAGCCTTCCCATACATTCTCTCATTTAGTATTTACAACTCTTCTGTGAGGGTGATATTATTACCCACATTTACAGATGACAGAACTGAAGTTTGAAGAAATTAGATGACTTGAGCACAGTATATTGGTCACTGGGTCCTGGCTAAACTGCAGTTCAGGCTTTTCAATGTTTTATCTAGTACATGGACTTGGATTTTCTTTTGTGTGTTCCTTAACAATAACCTACATTATTCAGCATGCTAATTATGTGCACTATTCTGACCAACTGTGTGTTCATGACCATGAAGAGCCCTCCCGACTGGACAAAGAATGTAGAGTAAGTTCAACTTATATTTCAAACCACCTACTATGTGAGTGTGTGTATATGTAGCTATAAATATGTATATCTCTGTATATAAATAAACGTAATTCATACTTAGCATTTTATATTTATGTTTTAATGTACCTTCTAAATAAAGCTGAAGAGGATTTTTATTAAAGTCATATGTAGATACAGTTACAAAATAGGAAGATAATACTCACTGACCCTCAAGCCTGCTAGAGTTGGGCCCGACGTCTCTCCTTCACCTGTAGTTGGTGGTTACCAGAAGCCCGTTAGACACTCACCACTTTTCCATTGGCATCTACAGGGGCCAAAGCAAATGGCAGAAAAGAACCAATGTGGTAGACTTTGGTTCCAGTTAAATTCCAGGTGAATCCAGTGGGTTAAGAATATACAAGGGTAGGTTACACATGCCTCACAAAGTTTTGACTTCCATCAGGCACACACACTTCATGTCTGGCCCGTATCAGTTGAAAGTGTGATTACCAAAAAAATTCACTTAAAAAAATCCCCAAATTTGGGATTTTAGAACTTGAAAATTCAGTAGACTGAAGGTTAAAATAACTGAAGTGAAAATGTGGGTAGCGATTTCGGAAGCCAGAGCATTACTAACTCTACTGATGGGCTCCATCTGGGGTCCCTCTGAGGGCAGAGAGGCCAGCTTTGGCTCACTGCTGGGGGGCTGTGCACCACTCTCCGTGGGCCACTGTTGCTCTGTGGCTGCTGATCCTTAAAACAACCACAGGGCTACTCCCAAGAGCCTCTTCCCTTCTTGGACAGGTTGGAGCCAATCAGAAACTGACAAAGATTCTGAAGAGAATAATAAAATTCATATACAAAGAATTCCTGAAATATTCAAGTTAACACCTGAGACCCACAGGTCTCCAGTTACCCTGTTTCTATTTTCCAACTTCTGCCTGGAAGAGTAAGATGTTGGAAACATTTAAGCTCCTGAAGTAGCCCAATATTTTAGTCAAAATTGAATTTTCAGCTCTCATGACTCTAGAGTTATCCACTTTGATGTTAATGAAATCCTTTTTCCAAGTAAGGTACCCTATTTCATCTTGTAGAAAGGGAAAAACATAAAACTTGATAATGTATTAACATTCTTTCATTCATAAGACATGATTGAAATTGAGTTTTGTTACTTTCTGAAGGAAAGTCATTTTATGCTTTTGCAATAGTAGATTGGCTGCTCTGTCACGTGACTGTATGGGACACATTTCAGGCAGTAGCTACATAGACTTCATACAGCATTTGTTCCTCACTCTGCCCTTAGAACACTTTAAAAACAACTCTTCATGTGTTAGGGAGCTGAACTTAAATTTAGGGCTATATTTTATTTCCATAAATTAACATCAACCTACTTAGATTCCTGTTTTAATATTCCTCTATTCCACTGGCAGACTGATAGGAAATTGATATATTATGAAATAAAATTATGACTTTATCAATTCTTTTTTGGATGCTTGTCTCCAGGTACACATTCACAGGAATATATACTTTTGAATCACTTATAAAAATCATTGCAAGGGGCTTCTGCTTAGAAGATTTTACTTTCCTTCGGGACCCATGGAACTGGCTTGACTTTACCGTCATTACATTTGCGTAAGTGTCTTTTTGAAACTCCTAAGGAGAATATGGTTTGCTTTCTATGAATGTTTATGCTTTTAAAGAAAAAGCCTACTTTAGCTGTTGAATATCTTGGTGTGATTTATGCATTTAAGCTCCAGATTTTAATCTAGCACAACAGAGGTCAAAGTGGCATTTCACTTGGCATAGAGACTTCACAGAGGTTTAAAACTAAAATCTTCACCTGTAACAACTACCTGTCAGCCTATTTCATACATGCTGCTTTTTCAACACACACACACACACACACTGATATGAGAGCAGAAATGTATTCATAATACATCTGTGGCTTTTTAAAATTACAGCCACAAGCAACTTGGCTGGCCGCACTGATTGTCATTGACCTTATCCTAATTCTGTGCTTTCTCCATCTTCTTTTATTGGTTTGGTAGAATAATGGAAAATTAGCATCTACTAACATCAATATATTCTGAAAAATCAGACTAATAGGAAAAAAATAAAGTCTTTAATAAATTATTATGTCATCAGCAAACTGTAAGACTTACAAAGAGACACCATGCCACTTCCTTTTTCTCACCTGATCCCTCTTTCTCTTCTCTCACTTTATAATTTCCTCACCTCTTTCTTTACCCTCAACATAAACCTTCTTATGTATCTCCCATTCAGACACACTCAGTAATATGCACAATTTCTGCATTCCTGTCCTTTTTTTTCCCTAGTGATAAACTCCCCCAAGGAAGGAGAGACTCAGACCAAACAATAGAAAGCCATTCAGGAGGAGGTGAGATCAGAATGTGGAAGGTGGACCCGCACCCTTCCCCTCCTCCTTCCTTCAGGGGCTGACCTTCCTGACTTCTTACAGGCGTAACCAGGTGGATAAGAGAAGTGGACCTGATACACTCAGGGCTCCAAATGCTGCCCGTCTCGTCTTAATTCCATACTTAGTCAGGATGAGCCAATTCTTCACCATTTCTTCTGGCCACAGTTCAAAAGCATATTGGGACTACCACTTTTTGACAGTGAAATAACAGTAAGGGCAGTGGCCTGACTGAACCCTCATGAAATGTTTTTAATTTGCCAGACTTTCACTTAAGAGTTACACCAGGAAAACCTTTCCACATACAGACGGTCAGTAAGGCAATCTGCCTTTTCCTGAGTAAATTTCTCTTGGATGATTTCATGCATTTTTTTTTTCTAACTGAAACCCTGAAAATATAGCCAAGATTTATTTTCTTTTTACTTAATTTTCCTAGGTTACATATGATGTTGAATGTATTGTTCTCTAAAATGGCAACAAGATTGTATACTTCATGAAGTTTGCATCTGGTTGATGGCCTTAAATTATGTGAATAAAGAGAAACAGAGCATTAGACTCTATTTCTGAAGTGCTACCTACAATATTATCACTTAAAATTACCAAGAAGGTCTTTATAAAAGACCCAAGCAAGTAATATAAGTCATGCTTAAATCCTGAATAACTCTGATTTAATTCTACAGGTATGTAACAGAATTTATAAGCCTAGGCAATTTTTCAGCTCTTCGCACTTTCAGAGTCTTGAGAGCTTTGAAAACTATTTCTGTAATTCCAGGTAAGAAGTGACTAGTGTAAAGCACAAGGCTGCTCAAACCGACAGCTCTTCCTTTGTGTTCTGTTACTGTGTTTGTGTGTGTGTGTGTGTGTTGTTACTGTGTTTGTGTACAAACCCCCCTATTACAGGTACGTGACAGAGTTTGTGGACCTGGGCAACGTCTCAGCGTTGAGAACATTCAGAGTTCTCCGAGCACTGAAAACAATTTCAGTCATTCCAGGTGAGAGTGGGGTTAAACACCATGTTTTTTTTCAGCAACAACTTCTTTGCTTGACATTCAGCATTACAGAAAGTAAGGGATCCTAATAACCAAAATAACCAAAATTGAGTATTTCTTATTCTTATTGTTTGGACATAAGTTTTATGTCTTCATATTTTTCATCAACCTCAGCATTTAACAATTTCTTGCATGAGACACTGTTAATGTTAACATGTGGCCTGTATGATTTGCACTTAGAGATGTCATTTTTTTCCCTCTATGTTAGTTGTACCAAGGGTTTGTTCCCTATTAAATGTACCAATCTGTGATTTCTTTTTCACTGGAGGCATTGATGACTATGTACATACAATGTGAATCTTAATATTGCTAAAAAAAGACTTAAGAAGAAGATAATAAAGAGTAGCATGAGCTGCATGGAGGATTTGTTATCTTAAAGTGCAGTCATACTCCAAACCACCTCCAGTTTTACAGCAAAACTTTTCCTATCTATAAATAGGGGTTTGGAAATATTTATTCAGGTGATTTGTTATGAAACTGAAAACTGGATCTAATGGAAGAGTGGGGCAAATTTCATTAGTGGAAAGGCGAAATACAAGGTCCTTTCCTTAACTGAGGCTTCTTGAGGACTATGAACATCACACTGTTTTTTCTCACTGCCCCGGGATGTGGATCTTAACCCACTGCTCGGATGGCTGCGTCTTTGGAGTTCATCTCCATAGCGCTTCAGCCGATCATGAAGGGCTGCTCTCCCACTATTCGCCTTGCACTCATTTTCAGACATATGCATGGAATCTATGTTTTCACGAAAGTCGTGTGAGGCTTTTTCCATTTCAGATGTCATATTCTTCCTCATAGTGACAGCTTTCTTTCTTTCAGGCCTGAAGACCATCGTGGGGGCCCTGATCCAGTCTGTGAAGAAGCTCTCAGACGTCATGATCCTGACCGTGTTCTGTCTGAGCGTGTTTGCCCTGATTGGACTGCAGCTCTTCATGGGCAACCTGCGGAATAAGTGTGTCCAGTGGCCTCCCACCAATGCTTCCCTGGAAGAACACAGCCTAGAGAAGAATATAACTGTGAATTACAACGGCACGCTTGTAAACGAAACTCTCATTGAGTTTGACTGGAAATCCTATATTCAAGATTCAAGTAAGAAGTACTGTTATGTACATTTATTTTTTCATTGTTCATCTGCCTTCCACTTACTCATGGAAAAATTTTTTTTTCTTTTACGTGATTGAATAACAGGTTGTGATCGCTTAATCCCCTTATCAATGGTTTGCACATCCATTTAATTATTTCATTGAAACGATTCTAATTTTGACTCCTAAATGCATTTTCTGCTGTATCATCAAGTGGGAGGCTGAAGAATTCAGCCAGAAAGAAATTTTCCTAGGATCTTGGCTGCTATATGTTCTTTTCTTGGTGAATGAGACAATCACCTGACATGAAGTATTTGAAGGCCTTTTGTAATAAAGTACTACATGAAAGTAACCCGTGGAACTCTAATTACAGATGCCTTGTATGTACCAGAACTGTACAGGAGGCTGGGAAAACAGTGGTGATGATACATGGTGTCATGGTGCTTAGAGTTAAGTTACCATTTTATGGAAATCAAAGGAGGCCTAAAGATAAACATTATTCTTATATTAGTATAATAAGAATTAAAAGTATTACATAAAAGGGAAGGAAATTAGAGTCTTAAATTAAGGAGAGAGAAAAAAACATGATATTATGGTGAATTTATGGGGATCATTTTGTCTTTATTTCAAGAGTTTAGACACAATAGTCAAACATTTAAGTATGTCTATTCTAGAAGGAAGGAAAAATAATTGGCCTAATATCCTTTCTCTTTTTAAAGTGACATTAGAGATGTAAAATTTTTTCTCTCTTTTATTTAATCTTAGTGTCTGCCAGTAGCAATATTTGAAAAGCAGAGAGGTTAGAACATGATTCATGGGGAAAGGGAATGTTCTTTTTAAGGAAAAATATTAAATATATAAAATTTAAACTCTAGATGGACTTAAAAATAGCTATATATTTTTTATCTTAAGGTGATGAGTAATACTTAGGAAAAAAAATCAAAGAAGAAAGAAAACCTTACTGACCTGTTACGGAGGACAAGTAGGATTGGTCATTGAAGGTTGCTAGTGGTTTGATAATTCTTAATGTTAGCATAACAAAAAAACTAACCATTTATAGCTCTAGATTTGGAAAAATCCTTAGTTAATACAGATGAACTCTTTCATGATATTAGTGATGTGCAGACAAGTCATTTGCAAATGGTTGTAAATCTCTGGATTAAGGAAAATGCATTAAGAAAAATATGTGCAGAGGCAATATATGAACTATTCTTATTTGCTTCATAGGAAACCAATAAGCCTACTGCCGTCACCAACACCCTGAAATTTATTTATTTTTTTATCTAAGATCAAGAAACTATGAGGATGTCACTTAGCATTTATTCTCTCTAGTGAAAATTTACTGAACTCTTTTTTCTTGTCTTCAAAGCAAAGGAAATCAGGAATATCTGAGATCATTTTCAGCTCTAAAAATCTGTTCATCATTTTCCCTAATAATACTCCATTTGTTGAAAGGGATTATTTAAGCCTAATGCAAATGTAAATAAAACGGTTTGTCTTTGAAAGTAATAGAAAATTAAATTTATTAAAATTAAAGATAAACATTGTGACTGAAAGTTATATTTTCTTCAGATTAAGCTTATAGGTCATTGCGTTTAATGAACAACGCCTCATTTATAAATATCTGGTATCAAAAATTCATCCAGGAACTGTCATATTCCTTTTACTTTATTTAAGTTTTAATTAAAAGTTAATAAATTCTATCTTAATTTTCCTATCTATGTTAGAAGACATAAAGATAAAGGAAATGAAAATATTTCCCATTATGTGTTTTTGTATTCCTTACAGAACTTGCATAGAATAAATTCCTCTGAAAATTTATTGTCTAGAAAATATTTCTTCTTACAAAACCCAAAATACCTCTTCTTAAAAATTAGAAAATGATCATTAATTCCTTGTGCTCCTGTTTTTGTCATACCTGTACTTACTCATTCAATGAACCTTATTGAAAGGCCACTAGGTCCCACACTAGATCCCACCCAAAAACTAATAATATGGAGATTATTACTATTATTATTAAAATGATTAGACTTTCTTTCAAAGAGGAATAACATTTGTAACAACTGCAATATAGGAAAATGAGTATAATAATAATAGAAGTATATATATGTTACTGGAAGCACAGTGAGAATACTTAACTTTGCCAATCTTTAGTGGGAAGGAAGTAGAGAATATCAAGAAAAAATTCACCAAAGTAACATGTCAACTGGACATTGAAAGAGTCTAAGGAATTTGCCAGAGACAGAAAGTTTTGAGATAATGTGATATTCACCTATAGCAATTGTTTTAGCTTTAGCATTTAAGATGTTTATTTCATTTGTTTTAGTAGTTGACATGACATATACATCTTTTACTATAAACTGCCTATGATATCTGGAAGTTGGTAGAATGTAAATTATAACTAATTACTAAAACATTTATGAATAGTATTGAAAAAATATAAAAGACCAGAAAAGATATAATTCCCTTATTTTTAAATATATGGCTGTTTCAACAAAGCAAAGAAATCCCTGTCATTCTTATCTATTTTTGCAGAATGAAATTTTAATTTTTAGTAAGAGTGGTAGAAAAACACTGGTACATCTTAAGATATTGTTATCACCTGTGACTATCACTATTTTATATTCATAAAGAACAAATACTTTATACTATTAAGTGTCCAATCCCCTTAATATAATACCTAGTATTTGGAGGGAGACGGGGCAAATACCTGTGTCTTTAAATAAATTAGAGTATTTAAAATTACTCAATGAATCCTAAAAGTAGGCCCTGCTCTTCTTGTTCTCATTTTGCAGCGTAATGCAGATGTTTATTGTATGACTTTTTTTGTTCTAAACAGGATATCATTATAGTCTGGAAGGTAGTTTAGATGCACTGCTATGCGGAAATAGCTCTGATGCAGGGTAAGCCAATAATTTGTGTATGTTTGTGTGTCTTTTTTTGTATAAATTAGCAATCAACTAACTTTATTCCTACTAATTTTCTATAATGAAGGTCATTTATTAGATGAGGGAGTATTTAAATATTAGGCAAGCTTTTATGTTTCATTAAGCAAGGAGTAACACATTAGTTCTAATGCTGTTTCCCTTAGATGAGTGTGTGTGAGCTATGAGTCAACTCTAGTGGCTCCATAGTAGAGAAAATGAGCTACATATATGTAAAAAAAAATGCCAATTAACAGCAGAAAATAGCTTTGTAAAATATTATACATTCTATGCAATTTTTAATGATGACATCAAGTGGCTGAAAAGTTATGTTAATGCAAAAGTTGGCAAAGCATTAGTTACTTATTTATCATATTTCTATCCCTTGAAATAGCAAATCTTTCTAGCTAGACAATAAATATAGCATGCTTCCAGAATGAAAAAGAAAAGAATTTCTTGTAAGACTTTCTTTTGCACCATTTGCAGTCAATGTCCAGAAGGATATATGTGTGTGAAAGCTGGTAGAAATCCCAATTATGGTTACACAAGCTTTGATACCTTCAGCTGGGCTTTTTTGTCCCTGTTTCGACTGATGACTCAGGACTTCTGGGAAAATCTTTACCAACTGGTGAGAACCTGAAGAGACACATACTGAATTTAAGTAGATGTACCTAAGAAAACCAGCTTAGTTAAGACCTCCAACCACAGCACAATCTAGTGGAAAGAACAGAACGTGAAATCTGGAGATTTGAGTTCCTTTATCCTATTAATTATATCTCTCATTTCCACTTGCTCAAAATCGATTTCCTACAGACACAGATCCTCCCAAACAGAAGGCATGCCTTCCCTCAGTCCCATCTGCCCCCTCAAGCATTACCCCTCAGGTAGCAGGCGATGGAAATGAGTAGACAGATGTAGGTGGATAACTGAGGTCTCTTCCTTGACTTTGATCAAAGGCCCAGCTCTTTGATGGAGGTCTTCGTGGTATTTTATTTGACTTTAATTCTTGGTGAATCCAAGAAGTCCCCCTAGAGATCAGAATGTGAATGCATGAGTTAGGGAAGAAAGAAGAGGATAGGTTAGAGAAACAGTCAAAGAGGTAGGAGGGGATGTGACCATCATAATGATTATTTATAGCAGATTATTATTTATTTATATTTATTATTAATTATTCATATTATTATTCTTTATTTATATTTATAAGACACACAGTTAAGTTAAATATTAATGGTATGAGTTAGTGAAATAATATCAAAAAAATAATTCCTATGTTCTTATCTCCAGACACTCCGTGCTGCTGGAAAAACATACATGATATTTTTTGTGCTGGTCATTTTCCTGGGCTCATTCTATCTGATAAATTTGATCCTGGCAGTGGTGGCCATGGCCTATGAGGAGCAGAATCAGGCCACCTTGGAAGAGGCAGAACAGAAAGAGGCTGAATTTCAGCAAATGCTAGAACAGCTTAAAAAACAACAGGAAGCAGCTCAGGTAAATTCACCAGATCAAATATGTCCTGTCTCATGGTCTGATCCTTTTCTATTGTTTTCACTGTTAAAAAACACTGGAGAGAATGTAAGAGACAGATAACTGAATGTACTTAAGAGAAGCTGGTAGTAATGATTTAATAAAGAGTTCTGCATTTTGATCATGTACACATAATTTAATTATCCTAAGATGTTACAATATTGACCACAACGGAACTATCTCATGCTGTGTTAATTGTCTTAAGATGTTTTAAATAAAAGGGAAAAAGTGATTTTAGAGTCTTCTAAGGTGAGAAACTTTTACTGAATGAGTATATTGGCAATATGAGAAAGTCCTAAGAAATCATCTTTTCTTAGAAAAAATTATTGGCTATCTAAAAAGATGTTCATCTGGTTTTTAGAAGCTGTTCTTTTCTTTAACCAAAAATGTAATGGCCTTTAATGCGGTTGCTTAATTGTATTCAAATATAAGGAATCTATCAAATAATGTAATGTTCTCTGACCCAGCAGTATCCAGCAAGCATGTGAAAGTCACCAATTTTATGGAGATCAGTTAACCCAAGGATTATGTATTCTTATCATGGTGTTAAAACTCATAGTACAATAAAATACCTCTCCTGTCCCTTCCATCTCTTCTCTTTCTGTCAAGCATACAAACTTATTGTCATTACTATAGAAGAGCGTTGTTCAGGGGATATTAATGGGCTTTCAGGAGCCCCTGGATTGAGGGCACTGTGGGGACAATGATGACCATCAAACTTATGATCAGTACCAACTTAGTACCGGCACAAACCATGATCAGAAAGCATTGTGTTCATTCCATGTCCGTGTGCCCAGCAAGAACCAGTGCTAAGGTGCAGAAGCTGGGGCCTTGTCTTGCTTGGCAGCAGCCATCGACCCTCCCTTCTCCAGTCTTCTGTGGGAAGGGAGTTTATCGTCTTCCATTCATCTGATTGATGATATTTTGAGGGTGTTGGACAACCCGGTTTCAGTAACTAGAGAGAGGGACCTCAGATCTTACCTGATTCCTCCTTTCTCTGGATATGACCTCAAGTAAGTCAGCAGCTTTTCTTCCATGCACCAGTTTCTTTTTCAGAGAAAAGAAGACAGTGCTAATTAAATACCAATTTTGAGAGTAAATCAAATCCTCAGAGGTAATAGGCGTTTATGTTCTTGTTGATGGCTGATTGATCCTTTTGAATATGTGGTCTATAAAGCATAAGACAAATACAACAAATGTTAGCTCAGAGAAAACCAATTTAGCTCTGAAAGCCTTCATTAGGTGGAAAGAAAAACAAATCCCATATAGTTACAGAGCTGTTTCTATGTAAGATCAGACGGAGTCAGCTAAATGTAGTTTTTAAATGCTGTCCAAATAGTTGAGCCATTTTTTTTTTGAAAGATGGTCTTCTCTCTTGCTGTGCTAAAACCATGTCCGCTCCACGTGGTAGGCGGCCGCGGTGACAGCCTCCGAGCATTCCGGGGACCCGAGCGGGACGCGCGGGCTTTCCGACACCTCCTCCGAAACGTCCAAGTTGAGTTCGAAGAGCGCTAAGGAAAGAAGAAATCGGAGAAAGAAAAGAAAACAGAAAGAACAGTCAGGTGGGGAAGAGAAAGACGAGGATGAATTCCACAAGTCGGAATCTGAAGACAGCGTCAGGAGGAAGGGGTTTCGCTTCTCCATCGAGGGGAATCGGCTGACCTATGAGAAGCGGTACTCCTCCCCTCACCAGGTACGGGGCTGCCGCGCCCAGGGGTGCGTGGGTGACAATCACACTGCACAGAAAGGGGGAATTCAATCAGATTTAGGAATTGTCATCAACTGAATTGACTGCTGTGTCCACTTATATCTAAGTCTACAGCTTGGAGTAGCTGAGATGACCCGGGATTGAAGTCAGGAGACCTGGATTCACATCCTGATAACCTTCTGCTGGTTCTTGTTTTAACTAATGACACTTAATCCCTCTGGTCCTTGACCTTTTTAATAGAAAAAACAACGTGGATCTGGGGTTAGCTCATCAGTCGTGTCTTTTTGGTTATTTTATGTTGTTGTTTTTTCCCCTCTAATTTCTTTATAAATCATCATGTGTGCTTCTGAAAATATTAGTCATGGTATAATTTATTGAGAAGCACATTGCTTGGAATTTCAAATGTCTTAAGTTCAGGTTTCAGCAACACTGTGCCTCACAGATGAAACAGAAATAATAAATCATTTAAAGTGAATTTAAAAAGATGGACTAAAACAATTTATGAACAGTGTTGGAATTGAAAGACAAGAGCAATGAAAAATTGTTAAGGTCATGCTGATGTTTATTGAATGTTTAAGATGTCCGTAGTAATGGACTAAGGATATTTCCTTTTGAACTTGAAAAATGTAGCTCAAGGTTTTGTTTTTTCAGTATCTTTAAGTAGTGATCTATCTCCCCATTCATTTGTCTCAAGGACTAGAAACATTCTCCTATAAAACAAATTAAATTTCATGTTGAATGTCCATCAAAGGAGAATGTTAATCAAAAGGAATGAATTGCATTTTTATGAATGCTGAACTTTTCTCCCTCAACTTTTCTTGCAAAATAACTATATTAATATGATTTTTACTTTTTTTGTTTGTTTCCAACCTCTAGTCATTGTTGAGCATCCGTGGCTCCCTATTTTCTCCAAGGCGAAATAGCAGAACAAGCCTTTTCAGCTTTAGAGGGCGAGCAAAGGATGTGGGATCCGAGAATGATTTTGCTGATGACGAGCACAGTACCTTTGAGGATAATGAGAGCCGGAGAGACTCGCTGTTTGTGCCCCGACGGCACGGAGAGCGACGCAACAGTAACTTGAGTCAGACCAGCAGGTCGTCCCGGATGCTGGCCATGTTTCCGACAAATGGCAAGATGCACAGCACTGTGGATTGCAATGGTGTGGTTTCCTTGGTGGGTGGACCCTCGGTTCCTACATCGCCTGTTGGACAGCTTCTGCCAGAGGTGATAATAGATAAGCCAGCTACTGATGACAATGTAAGGAAGTTTTAAATAGTTCAGGCATGGCTGGCCCATGATTGCTGCACCAGCCAGTGTTTCTACAGAATGGAACCCCTTGAGAATGATTCCTGGTTGGTCGAGCTGTGAATGCACCTGCATCTTGAAATATACCTATTAGACTAACCAACTAAAACGTAAAGCCTCAACACTCTCTTGCATATCGCGTGGCTGCATTTACTTATTAAACATGCTAAGGATAAATTAGGCACAATAGTAAATGACTGCCTCCAGTTGGAGGATTTGCTATATACCCATGCTGAACTTAGATAGGAGATGCCCCAAAGCCCTGGCATAAAAGTAAATGAATGATTCCCATGTTTAAGTGTGAAGGGTGTATATAAATACATCTTTCCAACAGATTCTCTAACAGAGCTCTGCTTTAGTTAAGAAGATTTTCAAGAACACTGTGCCTAAATAGATAATTTCACTGTTACCTTAACATTTCTAGTGCTCACATTTGTCTTACCAAAAAAAAAAAAATGCTGATATAGGTCTTCTCAAAACTCATGTAAATGAAGAGACACAAATAAATTATTAATGCAGATATAAAAGAATTGTCTGTGTACAAAGGTACGTTATGTGTTTGTGAATGTGAACCTGGTTGAGGAATTTCTAAACACATGTTGCCTCTTATTAGGCTGTTAAGTCACTTGAAAATATATCAGCATGACGAGGCATGACTAAGTCAGAATTAGATGACTTATTGCTTTGGTGCCCTGGATGAAACTGTTGTCCATGCAGCACATGTGTGGTTTTTTTTAAACATAGAGTTTGTGTTGTCAATAACTATCAATGTTTTGTGTCCCGAAAATGAGATGGCAGCTCCATGTGTGATAATCATTTGCATTTTTTTGAAGATAAATGGCTACCTTCTCAAAGTAAAATGCCTTGATCATTTATATGACTTACCAAACTATGTTTACTATTTGTTCAGAAATAAGGATAACTGTTCAATATGTCTCTCAAATTTATCAGCTATATCAAAATTATATGGTATCATAAAATTGTGAAATCAGAGGGTTAAAAAAAACCTCAGGGTTTGCTGTATGACTAAATGGTTGACAATTTGGATATTCCAGGTTAATGATACAATAAGTCAGCAATATCTGCCATCAGCAATTAAATATGAAAGTGCATGATGCATGTGTTTCATGACATTTACTGTCACACTTAGTTGTTTGTTTATCATATTGCTCAAGTTAATCACTTAATACATTAGCATTTTCTTTATAGGGAACAACCACTGAAACTGAAATGAGAAAAAGAAGATCAAGTTCTTTCCATGTGTCCATGGACTTTCTAGAAGATCCTTCCCAAAGGCAAAGAGCAATGAGTATAGCCAGCATTTTAACAAATACAGTAGAAGGTTTGTAACTAGTTCTATTTCCATTTCAGTTATCCTCACTAAATTTATATTGTCTCATTTGAAACAATTATCTCTGTGAGTTGAAAACAGTACATGCTAAAGGGAATATAATAGGTCTTAAGAGTTATACCTACTTATTGTTATACCTACTTACTCATATATTCTAGAAGCTTTAAAAAAGGTTAAACTCAGTGATACTGGAACTCTAAAGAATGCTTTCCTATGTATGACAACTCCTTGAAAATGCAGAATAAAGCATTTCTGTTGGGAGTTTCTAACCCTGTTAGTCATAGTGACCCTGTCTTCTGTTCCACTTAGTTCTGACTTCCAAAATCATCTTAAATACTCTCAAGATTGGAGGGGAGGAGTAGGTTGTTTTCACAAAATAAAAAGATTAAAAAAGTGATATTGGCTCTTATCCATCCCAACACCATCTCCTAAGAGCCTGAGCATGACACCGTAGCTGGACATTAACACAGGATGACACACAGTGTCTACACTCCCCCAGCCATGTTCCTACTGAGACATCACTTAAAAGACCATTACTTAAGGCCAAGTGCTGAGCAACATTAGCAATGTATATGGGTGGAGAAACATTCTCGGCTACCTCTGCTCTTTATGAAGAGATTTCTTTGGGAGTCCTAAGAAGTACTAATTCTTTTTTTCTTTCCAAGTCCAAAAGAGATCGGCTCTCTAGCAAATGGAAATGTATTGATTACTGAAGTCTAGTGGGTCTGAAGTAAATAAATATATGTGCATGTAAAATATATCTTTGGTGTTTCTTTCTTTTTTTAAATCTAGAACTTGAAGAATCCAGGCAGAAATGCCCACCCTGTTGGTATAAATTTTCCAACATATTCTTAATCTGGGACTGCTCGCCGTATTGGTTGAAGGTGAAGCACATCGTCAACCTGGTCGTGATGGACCCGTTTGTCGACCTGGCCATCACCATCTGCATTGTCTTAAATACGCTCTTCATGGCCATGGAGCACTACCCGATGACGGCGCAGTTCAATAATGTGCTTACAGTAGGAAACTTGGTAAGCATATTGGAAGGTCAATGTGTTCAAACGTCAAATTTCCTGTTTGAGAAACTGTGTACATGTAACAGTTGATCGTGGTGGTCTTTCCACCACCCTTCTTACCTCCTGGCTCCCAAAAGGTGGGAATTATATCTCTCTGGCTCCACCCTACTTTTTACCAACATCATTGGCCTTACAGTCAAAGCAAAAGCTGAGAAGGAGAATAGGCACTGATACTACTTGGAAGTTTAATACTGATATTTATCACTTTTTCAAGATGCAGAAGCAAGCCAAGGGCATGCTTTTTGAAATGCTATTAAGTTTCCCAACCTGTCGAAGGCTAAACTTAAATTGTAGATCTTTTTTATCTTGCTTAATCATCATCATTGTAAGCAACCATTTAGCAATTCAAAAATATCTCCAGCTTTTCCACTTTCAAGATCTAGGTAGGAATGTATTATTTTGTCCATCAATTCTATATCAAAACCATAAAATATTGAAAACCTCAAGGACATTTTGTGTACCTATGTGAGTAGCAAGGCCATTTTTGGTGAAGGTTGCCACTTAATTCTTTCTCTTCTATGCTCAAAAACATGAATTATTAAAGTGTTTGTCAGTTGACTCAACTTAGGAATATCAGCTTTTATTTGTTGAAAGAAAGAAGTCCTTAAAGCAATATATGCATTTCCATATTTGTTTTGAGGTTTAGGGTCTTTGATAGTAAAAAGCATGTAACACATCCTGCATTTTAATATTTATATTTTTCAAACTCCAGTATTTATACTATGGAAGTATTTTTGTCATGAACATAATAAATTGATAAAAGTATGCACATGTTATAGTAATAGGTATACATGTATAACTATGTGATTTGAGGGAAATGGAAATAAGCTTATAGATAAATAAAACTGTTCGTGGGCAAAATCTTCTCACTACCTTGCTGTATAAAGTCTAGAGGAGAAGGCAGTTTGATGCAATGGAAAGAACACTAGTTCAAAGAGATTTGCACTCAAATCCTAGTTTGAGATTTTCTATTGTGTAAAGCAGGCCAGTCGTTGCACCCATTTGAAGACCTGTTTCCTCATCAGTAATGTAATAATTACAATACCTGCCTCAGCCATTTAATAAACTTGTGTGATGATAAAATGCAATAATGTACATGACAGCATTTCATCAACTATAAAATAACTATACGAATGTAAGCTAGGAATAGAAACACGAGGGTGAATGTAACATCAACATTTTGTTCTAAAAGCAAATACTGTGTCATTCCACTTTTTCATCACTGATGGCGTTAGAGTAATTTTGTTTTGATCTTAGGTCTTCACCGGGATCTTTACAGCAGAAATGTTTCTGAAAATTATTGCAATGGATCCTTACTATTATTTCCAAGAAGGCTGGAATATCTTTGATGGCTTTATTGTGACGCTCAGCCTGGTAGAGCTTGGCCTCGCCAATGTGGAAGGATTATCAGTTCTCCGTTCATTCCGACTGGTAAAAAAACAAAGCAAAATAAAATGACAACAAAAACAAAAACCTGCCCAATGATCAGGTTCCTGCATAGTACTGTCGTAGGTTTGACCACACAGCTACTAACATTTGAAGTTTCTGTGTAACAGTTGCATTGTCAAAACTGTCCCTAAATGGAAAAATTATCCCCACTTACTTAGAAAAACTTTTATTGCAAAAAAGCATAGCCATGTAAAGCTTAATATATTACTCAGTCACCATTCTGACTACTCATTTTTCTACAGATGACTACAGTTAATATTTCTGGATCTAAGAAAATATTTGTAATGAAAATGTATCATATTTTAATAGTAACTTGAAAATAAAAACATCACTTTGTAATGCTAGATGATAATCCAGTGCAGGTACAAACTTTCCTAATTCTACCTTTGGAAAATATGCCCTTTCCCAAAATCAGAGGAGAGGAAGCTGTAGGATTACTTAGCATGTACATTGATTTACATATATGTTCTTGCAAATCAGGGGAAGAATTATAGTCTTGGGAAAAGTTCCAGGTTTTAAAATGCAGGCACATCTAGTTATGTCCATGCCCCAGGGAGCATAATGAATAATAAACACTCTTCTCCACTTATAGTAGGGCTCAGTATGTTACTCTACATGCTATTGACAATATCTTTCAGCAGAGATCATTGCGATTGAGATGTTAATAATAGTACCAGGTACACCTTAGAAACACCTTCACAAAATCAATAAAAGACTGTTAGGCCCCAACTAATCATTAAAAATTCAATCTTAGGGAAAGTGATCTACATGGCTAAAATATAGAAGAACCAGATTTTTCCTGGGAGCAGGAGGTCCAAACACTAGCCGTGAACCTGAAAGGGTTCAAGGGCAGGACAAATGTAAGAGATTCAGTACTAATTTCTTGGTAAACCCGAATGTATGTAAGGTGTTTTAAGATCATAATACATATTGATTTTTTTATTTTCCAGCTCCGAGTTTTCAAGTTGGCAAAGTCCTGGCCCACCCTGAACATGCTGATAAAGATCATCGGCAACTCGGTGGGGGCCCTGGGCAACCTCACCTTGGTGCTGGCCATCATCGTCTTCATCTTCGCCGTGGTCGGCATGCAGCTCTTCGGGAAGAGCTACAGAGATTGCGTCTGCAAGATCTCCAGGGACTGCGAGCTCCCGCGCTGGCACATGCACGACTTCTTCCACTCGTTCCTGATCGTGTTCCGCGTGCTGTGCGGGGAGTGGATAGAGACCATGTGGGACTGCATGGAGGTCGCGGGCCAGACCATGTGCCTCACTGTCTTCATGATGGTCATGGTCATTGGAAACCTGGTGGTGCGTTGGACCCATTTAAGATACATATTTCAGAAATAAATTAAGAGCATAATACAATGGTGACTGTTTTGTCCAAAACAAAAATGATGGTTTATAATTTAAAAAGCCTCTTACCTTTGAGTCTCATTTTGATGACACAGCAGTAGAGCAGTAACCCCGTGGTTTTCGTACTCGGCTCCACGTTGTCATTCATTTCATCACGTGTATTATGTGAATTCCAATAGAGTATCATTCTGAAGACAGGTCTAGGAGGATATATGGGGAAGGTTTTATGAATTCAGAGAGAGAAGGAGAAGCCTGAAAGAAAGATTAGAGAAAACCCTTCTTAACTTGGTTCTAGTTACTTACTTTAGTCTAGTGTAAGACTAAAATGTGCCTCAGGTATTCAGAGTGATTTTGTCATCTTGCCCTTATGGCTTGTGGCATTCAGTCCCTTTAAGTCGTATGGCAGATTCATTAGTTAACCTGGGTGGCTGTCCTTTGGCTCTCAATCAAAACACCGGCTGGTGAACAATGCCTGAGATTACCCACACGGAGTAACGGATCAATTCTTCTCTCTCTTAAGTTTGGAACATTAATTAATCTTTAGAGTATATAAATATATAATATATTCCAAAAGATATAGATGTATATATATTAACATGCCAACCTCATGGACATATTAGGGATCATTTATAAATAGCTCTCCTAATTAATCAACAGTGGGGGATGAGAAATACAATGGGTTAAGAAAACAGGCGTCAATGCTTATGTTAAGCCCCTGATTCTCACTCTGGGTTATAAAGGTATTTTTCATTTACTCTCTCTGTTTATCAAAAAAGAAACCATAGTATGTATTTAAATGAGTAATTGCGAACTCGTGATTTTTGAGGTTAGAACTTTTGTGTAGAGCATGTTTCAATCCATTTTCTTATCCCCATAAAATTTTAAACTCAGCTAAACCTTAGGTCAGCCCACTCAACTTCTCTCTTTTATAACGGGGAGAACTTGAGACAGACAGAAATCATGCGCTTGCCCAAGGATGTGTAGTAAGGAAGCTACGAGCCAGACCACAAATTCTGATCGGTTAACTTCTAATCACTGTGCTGTGATGTTTCTAGACTTAGAGGAATAAATTATCTCAATCTGCTCTTCTTTACATTAGGGTGAAATTATAATCATGTTGTATTATTTTTAAGGTCCTGAACCTCTTTCTGGCCTTGCTTCTGAGCTCATTTAGTGCAGACAACCTTGCAGCCACTGATGATGATAATGAGATGAACAATCTGCAAATTGCTGTGGACAGGATGCACAAGGGAATAGCTTATGTGAAGAGAAAAATATATGAATTTATTCAACAATCCTTTGTTAGAAAACAAAAGATTTTAGATGAAATTAAACCACTTGATGATCTAAATAATAAGAAAAACAGTTGTATGTCCAACCATACAGCAGAAATCGGGAAAGATCTTGACTATCTCAGAGACGTAAACGGAACTACAAGTGGGATAGGAACCGGCAGCAGCGTTGAGAAATACATTATTGATGAAAGTGATTACATGTCCTTCATAAACAATCCCAGCCTCACTGTGACTGTACCGATTGCTGTAGGAGAGTCTGACTTTGAAAATTTAAACACCGAAGACTTCAGCAGTGAATCAGATCTGGAAGAGAGCAAAGAGGTAAGATTTTATAGACGTGGATAGGTATGAATTTATGTATATACACAGACTACATTTCCTGTGTATCTCCTTGGTTGCAAATGACCACCTTCTCTCTGTGCCCTCACATGGCCTTTCCTTGGTGTTTGTGCGCGCGCGTGTGTGTGTGTGTGTGTGAGTGTGGAGAAAGAGCTCTGATATCTCTTCCTTTTCTTAAAAGAGTACCAGCTTTATTGGTTCAGAACTTCATCCCTTCTGGCCACATTTAACCATCAGGAAGCAGTTCTGTGGTTGCGTCATCAGCTTACGAAGGCTTTGAAAACCGGGAAAACGCTAACCAGGTCTCACCTTTAGTCCGCAGAATATATAAAACTGTATTAAAGGAAAAAATAAATGAGTAATGAGTAATCCTAGACTCCCATTTGTCGTATTAATTATACCACCTGTGCTGTTTTTTTTCATTTAATACTTTTTACTATACAGATGGATTAAAGAACATGAGACAGTTTTACACCTAAGCATTTACTGTGTAGCTGACTAAATTTGTGCTACCACAGAAAGGTCTACAGAGGATGCCTGAGGTGGACAATGCTCAGTTTTTAAATACATAAAAGCAGGGATTTTGTCCATTTCATTTACCAAAGTACAGCCCCCATTCATCACAGTGCATAGCTTGTACTGAGTGCCCAGGAAATATGTGTTAAATAAATAAAAATAGGAAGTCTCTGGTTAATCTTGAATCAAAATGGATATGTACCAAGGTTTTTGAAAATATCCAAATTCATTAATAACCTCATAATATAATTTTCCCTTTAGAAAAACACCAGACACTATATGTGGGAATATTAAAAGTCTGCTAGGAAATAAGAGTGGGTATCTCCAAATTTTCTTTCTGTGCTGTCTCTTCACATATCCTGATGGTCTCTGATGCAGCAAGTATTACAGTTTCTCCTTTATGAGTTCTTACTGCAAGCTTATATAAATAACCATACATGAAAGCAAAATTTAGAGTATATTAGAGGGAGCTATATACCTCCATTTTTACCTCTACCCTGGGTAAATGTCTAATACTAGATTTCACATTTAAAAAAACAAGCTAATATGTAGTAACATGAATAATCCACTGAAGAGTGCCTTCCAACATACAGCTTGATGAAGAAATTATCTGGGTTTAGAAATGATATAGCATTAATGAGTTAATATCTGACTTTTCCAGCTACTCTGTAGAAATGCTAAGTCTTAGTACAGTGTCTTTTCCCTAGATATTACATTGTTGCTTTGTTGATAGAGGTCATTTTAATTTTTAATATGGTCATTGTACATTAGAAATATTTACTAATGGGCAATGTACACAATGAAATATTAATACTAATAATTTTGATGTAGAGTATTTTACATATGTATGATTTGAGATATACACATATTCTTCAATGTACATATACATTTATATATATAACAATAGCAAAATGCCCCCCTTTAAATATAGTGCATACCTACTTTTAAAAATAAGTACTTTCTCAAAAATAAAAGTACACATTTATATAGACATATATACACATATATATTTTGTACTCTTTTGACCCTTAAATTCCAAGTTTATTTTTAATGTATTTTATCACTTATTATAAGTTGAACTCCTATTAAACCCTATAACAAACCAAGCCTGAAATGAAAGCATTAAACATCTTAAGATCAAGTCAGAAAACAAGAATAAAACCATTTAATCTTTCACTCTTAAAGAAATATTGTGGAGTATTTTATTTGCTTTGCTTTGTTTTGCTTTACCCTCAAGGTCAAAATCATTTGCTGTAGTAGAGAACATTTTTTAAAAAACAAGAAATGTTGCTTAACTTTACTAAAGAGGAAGAATGCTCCTCCCATCAGAGTCGTAATTATTGAGTGCTTATTGGATGCCTGGGTGCACAAGGCCGAGTGGCTGCTTGGCCTATGAGAGCCCTGCCCTCTCCGGGCTCGCTTCCTAAGCCAGCCTGCCAAAAATACATGGACAACGTAAGTCAGTGTACAATTTACTGTTGAGAGTCATGTGTGAAAATATACATATTTTCAAGTGAATTGGCTCTTTGGAAATTAGTAAATTAAAGGTTGGCCATGGCTGAATAAACATTAAAATTGATTGTAAAAACAGTCCAATACTCTCAAAACCTGTGAGAACCAATCACTTTATTGTGAATGGTGAATTTCAAAATTAAATTTCAGTTTAAAGGCAAAAAAGGAAAAATTAATTGGCCTTACTGATTTTTAAATCGATAAAAGTACTTGTTTGAGAATGTTTTAGTTTCACTACGATCCAATTTCTCTAGTATTTTATCTGAATTCATACCTGCTAATCTTTCCACACATCTAAAAATCTTCTTCCCCTTTTAAGTAATGGCGTTATTGCTCTAATCAAAGCTACATCATCTTTGATTTTAACAATGAGAAATAGAAGAATATATTGATAAGCAGATACTGGTTGTGATAGTTCTACTACCATTCTTTTAACCTGTGATAAAACAAATAAAAAATACAGAAGGACACTGATAATTTAAATAATATAAATAATAAATATAACTGTATTATGAATGCATATCATCTCAAAAAATTATTACTTATAGAAAATTCTTATTTTTAAGTGCCCATAGTATATTTGTAGAAATTAACAGTATGCCGGATCCCAAAGTAAACTTCAATAAATTCAAAACAGTGGGCATTGTAGGGGGTTATTATCTCACAAATTCCAAGTAGATATCATAATGGGTTGCTATTTAATCACAATGCAGTTAAACTGGAAATTAATAGTAAAATTATAAGAAGTCTAACTTGTTAAAAATTAAGAAATTTCCTCCTGAATTGAACATTGGGTTAAAGAGCAAATAAAGCATATAAATAGCTATTTAGGAAATAAGAACATTTTCTGTCAAAATCTATTGAATAGGGCCAAGAAATCATTGAATGTCTTAATATTAGCAAGGATTATATTAATTAATATATATAAATTAAAATTTATTTACATAAAAACATCAATGAATTGTCAATGTAGCAGGTGATGTTATTATAGCAAGTGGTTCTTTGAAAAAAAAAATCAACGGAACACACAGACTTTGGTGTGGATAGCAGAATCCTAAAGTGACTGCAATGACTCTCTCCCTTTATAATCCCCACGTCATGCGTATAGTTAAGACTGTGAATATGATGAGATATCACTTCTGTGGTTACATTATTTTTATGGTCAAAGGAAGGTTATCCTGGGTGAGCCTGACCTAATCAGATGAATCTTTAAGAGCATAGAGTTTCTCCTCCTGGTCACGTAAGAGGAATTGAGCAAGATATGCTCTGGCTGGCCTAGAAGAAAGCGTGTGTATTGGGGGCTATGTGGCAAGGAACCGTGGTGGCCTCTACTTACCGAGAGTGGTTCAAGGCCACGAGGCTGGGAAGTCCCCATGAGGTTCTTCAGTCTTAGAATTTCAAGGAAATGAACTCTGCCAGCAACCACAAGCTTAAAGGAGGTCCTGAGCCTCCTCAGACGAGAGCTGCGTGTCCAGCCGATGCACTGACTCCATCCCAGTGAGATCCTGAGCAGAGAATACAGACTCCTGACCTACAAACACTGAAATAATGAATTTGTGTTGTTTTAAGTCGCTAAATTTGTGGTCCTTTGTTATACAGCAGTAGAAAACTAATGCATTTGGCAAACATTACATGTTAAGAAAAACTCAAATGATTTTTTGTATATAAAAATCAATTGCAACCTAGTAAGAACACTAATATTCTGATAGAAAAATAGACAAAAGACGATTTACAGAAGAAAAAACATACCTGGAAAACAAACCTTTAGAGTTAATAGCCTTAATTGTGATAAAAAAAATGATATTGAATAATCATAATGCACTTTGTACTTTTCCTTTTGGCCAATGAAAAAGGAATAAAAATGCAGCAAAGGAAAGGAGAAAAAAAAGCCCAGATAAAGAAAGTGTTATGCCGATGAAGGGGTTTCATGAGACAGATATTTAACACAAATCTTGGAATATAGTATTTCACAACAAATGTTGAGTGACTAAATGAGTGTTGCCCATAGAGCTAGTAGAGAAATTAACTTCAAAGCCCAGCTATCTGCGGCTGGTTTCTCTGTTTCCAAGGTGGGAATAACTATTATTTTTGCTTCTCCAATCCTTGGCCAGAGATGATCATGGGATTTTTGTAGCCACGGACCAGCACCTTCACCTCAGCCTGTGCACGCCCAGCACCCATACCCACCCTGAGCTACCACTGCCTTTTCTCTGCCTGAGCCCAGGTCTGGTCCCCACACTGCCTTCTCATCATTTCTAATATCACATCTTTCTTGCATCATTTCAAATCCTAAAAGACTACAGAGTCACAGAGCATGACAGCAGGAACTCTGGAGATGATCCCTTAATATTACATATAAGAAAATGCGGCCCAAAGGATCAATGGAGCAAAGTCATATAGAAAGTGAAAGGTCGAACTAGGTCTGGATTTCTTCCCACAACTATTATTAGTGGCCTTCTTTCCACTCTTGTGGTTTGGGCCAGGAGAAAGGTACAAAGATGAGGTTGGTGACCTGCAAGTGACAAACCTAAAAAAGTAGACAGGGGCCAGGGAGATGGTGGGGAGTCTTTGTAGATTTTAGAAGGAAGGTGATTTGTTTTAAAAGATCCCTCCGGGTTCTGGAAGCAGATGGATCAAAGAAAGTCTCAACTAGAGGCCGTAGCCTGTTTTAAAAGCTCTTGGGATAATGAGCTGAGAAATGGTGACAGTGTGACGGGTGTGGCTTGACTGTACAAAAATAAGTGACAACATCTATCTACTACATATGTGGATAATCGTACAGCATGATAACAATTTATGCAATTTTCTACCTACATACAAATAAAACAATATGCATAATTGTTACAGTGATGTAATGAAATATGCATAGAGGCAGCATGTTGAATTAAAAAGAACTTGAAAGTTAGAAGTTCTGAACCCTTGCATATTGACCAGCAGCTTTGTGTGTTTTGCCACATCAATTATACTATCCAGGTCTACTCCTCTAATCTGAATAATAATTAGTTCTCCAAAGTCACTTTCAATCCTAATCTTTGCAAGCTTCAATGAAAAAGACTTGAGAATAATTTGTATATTTTGTTAGAAGTGTTTGCTTTTCACATAATGTAGCTTTCACATTTTGCTACTCACATAAGTATAGTTGTCTGAACTTAGCATAAAGAAGTTAGAAATGTAGATTGTTTTGCTTAAGTTTAAAAAAAGGAGGAGAACTACTTTTTCCAAAGTAGCTCCATGTAACATCATCAGGGAAGAGCGGTCCCGTTCACCTTTACCATATTCTCTTGGCTAGAAGCAACCAAGACCCTGTGCACATGAGAAGGGAGGACGCTTTATTAGGGCATGATGACAGCGGCAAGAAATCTTGGGCACCATCTCAGAATTCTGCCTGCCACGGACTGCCAGTGAGAAAGCATTTTTTCAGACATAACAAAAGAGATATTCTTGCATATTCCCTGTCATCTTGTCAATTCTTCAGGATGATAAATCTCTGAAAGAATTCTTTTTCCCTAACCACAAAAATACTATTTCTTCAGTTATCTCTAACCTCCTAGTCAGTTGTTGGGGACACATTCTAAACATTTTTTAAACAGCTCTGTGCATTAGCTTGCTAACGAGTTGCTTTTATTTAGAATTCCTAGATCTCAGGAATGTTTCCACCTTTCATCTTGTTTCCATGAAAAACCATGTTACTAAATTCCACATAACCTTCCCTATTACTCACCACCCATTTTTTCTTCCATTTTAGCATCTTCTTTTTAATTTTGTCATGCACTTCCCCACGTTTCTGTACAACTCTAGTTTTTTAATGTTGTTAACAACCTTATTTCTTAAATGAATTCGTTTGTATGTCATGAATATTAAATCAGATGATCATGGGTCTGCTCTGCTTGGAACTGGCCCTGCGCTTCCTCTTCTAAGGCTTCAGCCTAGATCTCTCTAGAATGTTGGTTGGAAACTTCTCCTGTAAAGACAGATACCTTTGACTGAAAGGTGTATATTGAACATTAACAGACTTACCGATTGAGAATTTAACTGTACAGTTCATCTAACAAAGCATTGTCTAAATTCAGGCATACATTAAGGACTAAGCATGTATTTTTCTGTAGAATGTATAAGAAATGCTTGTTTCATCTTGCTGCTCTTTTCTCTTGTTTTTATTGATCAGCTATCTAATCTGAGTGAAAAGGTCACGGTGCCTTTTTTGGTTAATGTTTTTAATTATTTGAATCTCTTATTTATTTACTTAAATTAAAGTAGTAAGTCTAGGATGGGGAAAAGAAGTCATAACTCTAACTGAGAGCCTGTGAAGTCTGAGTGACAGTAGGTCCACTTTCCTGCAGTAGTTCAGGTCGACGGTAGAACATGCTTATGTTGCTCAAGAAGTGTTTGGAAATTAATTTGTGAACATCAATAAGATCACTTGTCCATATCTGATTCCTTTCCAAGATCAGATCTTTCATTTGAATTCTGATCATGGCTTTTAATCATCTTTTATATCATATTAAAATTTCTAAAGTATTGATTGACTCCCAAATATATGCATTAAAGAGAAAGTATGCCTAGAATTATAGTTAGTAACTGGTAACACATTATAAAGTTGGATTATAAAGTAAGACTAGGTAATTCTAAAGAATATTCTTAAGAATAAAGTTGGTGATATTGACAGTAGCACTGTTATCTGGAGAAAGTCTAACCTGGTAAGACCTGGAGTCACTTTGTACATAAAAGAGGTAGTAATTTATTTTATCATCATCCAGGTAAGACTCATCAGAAGAGGATATTTAGGGAAGCAATCAATAGGCAAAAATTAATTTTATATTATTTTAGATTCATGTCTTTTTACCTTAGTACTCACAGGTGCTGATTGGAAAACTCAATTCTAGGTGACTAATGATATTTATTAATAGATACAGAGTTTGATGTGGAGCCTGTTACTTGGCACTGTGTGTGAAGAACTATGATAAACAAAAGCTGGATTTGCCCAAAATTTTTAGAAACTTAGAATGTAGTGCTTTTTAAAAATTTCTGTGAGTTTAAGTCATACTAAACCAAAGGTTTTATTATTGCTTGCACTTAAGTTGCTAATGTGACATTTGCTTTATAACAAGAACATAACTAATTTGGCAGAATTACCTCAAACGAAAGTTAAATAGAGCTCAATGTCTGCAGCTACCAAAAAGTTAGCTTGTTGCAGCTGATGAAATAATTTCCATGAAGATACTGAATATTCATATTGTGTAAAATTCCATTATTGGTTTGTCGTGCGAACAGGTGTCTTTGTATTTCTTGTTCATGTCAAGATTGAATTGTAGATTCTCTTCATCTGTTAGACTCATCTTGACATTTTTTCTGTGGATTATTTTCACTTTTAAATTGAAGGCAGAATTTATAAGCAGGTGAATATGCTGTTTTCTTTTGTTTCAGGAACAATGTGGTTGCACAAAAGACAGAGCATTAGGCTTTGGGTTCAGGACTAATTCTCTCAAATCTTGGCTTTCTCTTAAAAGTTACATGACATTGAACACAGTACTCCACCTGTCTGAGACTTAGTTTCATCATCTGTAAAATAAAATACTTATACTAACTTTCCCTCCCCCCACCTCCCTCCGAGGCCTCTCTGATTCAGCAGCCAGTGGTTTGCTTTGTCTGTGTTTCTGATGGACGTTGGTAACTTCATACCATAGCCACTTGATTTCAAATTTATATTCTGAATTACAGTAAAGGAGTAACATAGGCAATTTCTTTATTTTCTCTTCCTATTCAATCCCTCTTTTGCTCTAAACTTAAGATATCTTCACTCCCAGGAACATCAAACTCAGTTCCAAGCACGAATCCTTTCTTGCAAGGCTATTTGTTAGTTACCCAAAGGAACGTGATTTACTGTGATGTCCGTCTCCCATGCAGAAACTTAACGAGAGCAGTAGCTCTTCTGAGGGCAGCACTGTAGACATTGGGGCACCTGCCGAGGAACAGCCTGTAGTGGAACCCGAGGAGACCCTTGAACCCGAAGCCTGTTTCACTGAAGGTAAAGCAAATGCCCTTCATGCTGATCTCGCATTTGAGGGCACAGAGGGCATCGCAGAACAGAGCTCTGTAGTAGATCTATTTCAATTTCCTCTAATACGCTAACAGATTTTAAATCTGTTGTGGTTTTGGTTCTCTCTGACCTTTATGTGTAAGCGATCATGAACGTGGAAAGAAATATTTTCATGTAATCAAAACTGGTGACTATCATTTTTTAAATAAAAGGGTGATCTCACCAGTTGGCATTGGGGAACCATTTAAAGAGGCTGAATAATTTTCACAACTTCACACAGCTAATGAGGGCGCTCTTACTGCTCCAGGCTTAGAGAGTTATCTTGGCGAGATGGATATGGTAGCAGTCAGGAGAAAATGAGTCAGGGGTATGACAAAGGATATTACTGGAAGCAACCGGAGTTATCCTGTCTAATCCTATTTGAACATTCTACTTGCAGGCTGTGTACAAAGATTCAAATGTTGTCAGATCGGTGTGGAAGAAGGGAGAGGAAAACAATGGTGGAACCTGAGAAGAACATGTTTCCGAATAGTTGAACATAACTGGTTTGAGACCTTCATTGTGTTCATGATTCTCCTTAGTAGTGGTGCTCTGGTGAGTGGATATTAAGCTGTAATATATATTATATTCTAAAATATATATTATATTTATTACATATTATATTATATTATAATATATATTATAAAAGTGCTTTAATACTAAGTTTTAGAGTCATCTAATACTGATGGCTTAGTAATCCTTTCTCTTACATTATGTTACTATGCAGTGCTTTTTTTCCCCTTATTCTACATCCATTTCCATTTGCATAGCATGAGCCATCACTTCTGTTCAATAAACCCCAGACTGTTATCTCCGTTTATGAGTTCTTTCTCAGACATACATACATCTCTATCTATCTGCCCTTCCTTCCAGCAACAGTGCATTTTTAATTACACCACTTCATATTTTTCAGACTATAGACTTAACATATAACTGTGTATTTCTGAATTTACTTTTATTCTATATACATACATTTCTAATAAGCTATTTATTAATTTGTGTTTATTATTAAGTAACCCAGAAAATTTGTCCCTCCAGCTTATTTATTATATGAAAGAATACAAATATTCAATTACTACTATTTTAACGAGAAAGTATGTGTGGCAATACGGTGTAGTGTGATTGGGAATATATAACTTCTAAGTTCTGATGAATTTTGTTTCTGAATGGTATTATTATTATCTCGTTATGGACAGTTAGTAAGTCCTTAAGGATGACTTCTCAGTCTCTTTTCCATTGTGTCACTATTCTTATGCTATTCAGGGATGATGGATATTGGTAACAATAAATACTGGGCAGTGTGCCTAAGTGACTCATTTAAAGTTTAGTTTTTCTTTGTATGAAGGTGTTCTTCATATCAGAATCAATTTATATCTGTGAAAAATTAACAAAAATGAAAGCCTAACACATAGGTAGCATTTTAGATGAACATTGACTCAAGTGGAATACTGAAACCATAAAATAGATGATGGATAGAGCTTGCCTGATTGAAATGCAGTTATTTAAGTTTCTTTAACTTAAGCTTATAATTCAAACATAGGCCTATGTTTACCTACATAATTCTCTGATGAAATGAATTTCCTCTACATGCCACTTTAGACAAGAAATAGTCTTTCACCATTTCAATGAATATGAAACTTGGATGTAAAATATCAAGAAAGATTCATATTAGAAGAATATTATGATCTAAATGAAAAATAATTTCATCTTGTCATTGTTAAACCATATCTGTGTTGAGAAATAAACTATCAACGAAATGAAGGGGGGAAAAGGGGACAAATAAACCCTATGTAGTAAAATTGGGCAATGTGATAATCAATTACAATTTCTGCTTTATGAAAAATATGTGTCTTCAGTTTTTATTCCTTCAACCTCCTTTCTATGGCAAAAAGCCAATAGGAGGAAGAACAAAAAATGAAACAAAGGAATAAATAGCTTCATGTTCAGGATATGACATCAGGAAATACTTCCTGAACAAGTCAAATTAATTCATTAGAATTAGGCTTTTACTTCTTTTTTCTGGCTATAATATCAGTGGAGATAATTTTTCCCCCGATTTATTAAAAGATCCTTGAAAGAAGAAAAGAAGCAATTGCTACTATTCCTCTGCCCTCTTATCCCAATGGAATATCATATATATATATAATTATATATATATCATAATATATATACACACACATATATAT